GCTCTATAACCTGTTGCCATTGCTCATGGGTGATTTCATGAGTCGTGGATAATCGTTCTTGGTCTTCGGCCTCATCAACCAAGTGGCGTGTAGCATTCAATGCACCTTGTGCGACTGGCCTCCATCCCAGTCGTGTGGTGGCAAGCTGAAGGGTGTGGCTAAGATGCTCCACTATGAAGATTACATCAAATTTGCGCAATCGAGATTTGGCCAGCTCAAGATCTTCCCGCGTCTTTGTGCGATCACCTCCGACGAACGCTTGAAGAATGATGTTGTCAAACTCGCAAGTCTCATTTCCCATTTGGCAGACGGGGTAGCTGTGCTGGCATTCTAGGTCAGCCTTGAAGGCGATTGACTTGTCCGTTCCGTCATTGTAGTCTGATACTTTGTCCCAGCCCTTGCATGCAAACCACCTGTGCAAAAACATATTGAGAGGGTGGCGCGTGATAGTGCTGAGTATCGTCGCCTGGTCGGTGCCACAACCAAGATCATCTAACGTGCTTCCTCCTAAGAATCTGTCCTCAAGATCGGTCCAATGCCTGTCATCCCACAGCTCCGTCTTGTTTAAGGCCGCCCATCTCTGGTATGGAGACAACGCCATGTGACCAACGCTGCCGGCCAGACCAAACATGAACCTTCCCCCAGAATGATACGGGCCTGGTATGTGAATGTTGAACACTGGGCCTCTCAAACGCCGGACTGCGCCCTCCTGAACCCACTGTGGCTTGCGAACCTCGCACTCGAAACCATCGACGGTCTTTCTGATCGAGTGCGGGCGTCGTCGTTGGGTAGGGTAGGGTGACGGGTCGTCGTCGTCGTTGCGTCGTCGTCGTCGTCGAAATCATCGAATCATCTGTCGGGTAGGGCGTCGAGTGAGGCGTCGGGTTGGCCGTCACGGGAGCACGCTTGCACACGGGAAGCTGGTCACTGTTGCTCCCAGCGCCACCGAAATTCTCACTGAAACTGATTTTGCTGCCACGATTTGTAATGAAGCAACCTCCGAGACGGTCGGCATGATTGCGGTCCCCGTCCCAAGGATACCCCAACGAAACTGCGGCTTCCTGACATTCCCATGGGCTCAGGACGGGATGATGGTACGGAACCGCCGCTCGGACAGGACATATGTAGTAATGGCTTTGCAATTTCGTTCTGGACCTGGCGCGGACCCCAAGCGTGGAGCCAACGCGCACCAAGCTGCTTTGGCGCATGCTCCGTAACGCGCACGTGGTCTGCAACCATATGCAAGCGAAGCAAGCAAGCTCAGACCTCGCCATCATCGAATATGTAAATGCAGCGGAGTGTGCGGACAGGATCGAGCTGGGCGCGCAAATTTTGGGCCAAGATGACTTGAGCCAAAATGGCTACGGAGGCACCCTGGGACGGTCTTGGGCGGTTTGGGGTCTCTTGGAGCGCTCTTGGGCTGTCTTGGAGCGCTCGTGGACCCCTCTTGGAAGTATCTCGGGCCGTGGGGCGCCTCTGGGACCGCCCAAAAATCTCGGGGAAAGCCGAAACTCGTTGGGTGGGGGGGGCTCTGTCCGGGGTCCGTCCGGGGTCCCCGGCCCTATAAACGTATATAAATAGGAATACGTCTGTATACTCACACACACACACATAGACACATACGCACAACATTGATTTTCTGACCGTCGCCGTAGGACCTGCAGGGCCCCGACGGGTTTCTTCGGCGTCTGTTGAAGCCGTTGTCAAACCGTCTTTTGGGGCCTTCTGGGCCGTCTTGGGGTCCTCTGGGGTAATTAATATTGGGATCCTCTCAGGGCTGTTCTGGGGCGGTCTGGGGGCCCTGTTGGGCTATCTTGGGGCCCTTTGGGGCCGTCTGGGGCCCCTCCAGGGGCCCTCTCGGAGCGTCTTGGGGCCGTCTTGAGCACCTCATGGGCCGTCCTGGGCTCGTCTCGGGGCCCACTTGGACGCCGATGGGCCACCTTGGCGCGATCTCGGGCGCCTCCTCGGCCGCCTCGAGCGCTCTGGAAACCGAGAAGCCGAGCATGCGAAAATGGCACCAACACTAATGGACAACTTATAATTCTGGCCTCCTGGGGGCCTCTTGGGAGTCGTCTTCGGGCCCCGTGGGCCATCTGGGGAGCCCATTGGGCCGTCGAGGGGCCGTCTCGGGCCCATCTTGGTCATCTTGGGCCATCTTGGCCCCATCGTGGCCGTCTTGGGGCGCTCGTCGGGCCCTACTGAAGCCTTCTGGGGCCCTCCGGGGCCCTGGGGGCCATCGGGTGCCGTCTTGGGCCCTCCTGGGGCGCAGGCGAATCAGCCTCCCTGGCCGCAACCGAAGTTGTCCTGGATCAGGTACTCACTATTTCAGCACAGCTATCTCTGCATGTATGAACCTGATCGGGCAAGAACGGGAAGCGCCGATTTTGTCAATTGGGCTCGCAGGTGCGACAAGAAGAACAGGATGATGGCGACGACGAAGCGGCGGATGTCGAGGATGGCAGCGTGGATGATGGGGAGGGCAGCGAGGGGGGCGGGATGACAACGAGAAGGAAGACAAGCGCGAGGACGAGGAAGAGATGGAGGAGGACGCGTACGAGAAGGAACGAGGCGGAGGAGGAGAAGGAGAAGAGAAGGGAAGACGACGACGACGAAGGACTGTAAGGAGCTCGACGTGAAGAACGTCGAAGAAGAGGGGCCCTCGTAATCTTTTGAGGCGACCCTCCCTCTGGGCTGCAGAGGCCGTCCTTGGGGCTACCTTGGGGCACCCTCGGGGACTCCTGGGGGCCTGTCGGGGTCCTCTTGGGGGCCACTGGGGTCCTCTGTAGTGGGCCCTGGAAACGACAGGGCCGTTGTTTTACCGGTTCCGTTTTGCTGTTTACCGGTTCCGTCGCCGTTTTTTGACCGGCTCCGGTTCCAATCCTGGAGCCGTTTTTTTTGCCGTTTCGGGTCGCCGTTTTTTTTTGCCGTTTCCATTTTCAAGGGACATTTCTGTGGAAACGGTGAAAAACACAGCCCTGCCGTTTCCGGGGCCCACAAAGGTCTGGCCATATCTTTGGGTTGCATGGGGGCTCTCGCAAGCCAACTTGGCGCCATCATGGGCTGTCTTGGACCGTCTTGGGGCCCCTCTTGGGCCCAACGCGGTTCATGAGGCAGACGAAACGGGCTAAGAGGGCCCCAAGACGGCCCCAAGAGGAGCCCCAGAGAGGGAGCACGAACCGAAAATCCGAGCATTCTGTCCCAGAAGGCCCCCATAGGAGGCCCCAAGAGGCGCAAAGGAGGCCCCAGGAGGCCCCCAAGAGGCCCCCAAGAGAATCCAAAAGGCCAAACGGCTCCCGAGAGGCCCCCAGGAGGCCAAAAAGAGGCCCCAAAGTGGCCCCCAAGAGGATCTCCAAGAGGCCCCCGAGAGGCCTCCCACGAGATCCCAATGAACTTCCAGTAGGCCTTGTACCCACAACCCGGGCACGGTGGCGGGATGGCCGAAGGCCATGCGGTCCGCCGCCTCCTGTTGATGTGTCAAAGGGGGGCCTGGCGTGCTAGATCCTACTGGTTTAGTTCTGGTTCCTTTGCAAAAGAACTGCCCCTGGGGCTTCAGCCCAGCACGCCCCAGCTATCTGAAAGGCGTCCAATTCTCCCCAAAACCTCCCAAGACGGCTCAAGATGGCCTCCAAGATGCCTCCAAGACGGCCTCGACGGCCTCCAAGACGGCTCAGATGGCCCAACATGGCCCTCAAAAGTTCGCCCAAGATGATCGATCCAAGGTGGCCGCCAAGACGGCCCAAGAGAGTCCAAGATGCCTCGAAGTTCGCCAATGAAGCCTTCAAGACAGCCCACGAGGCCCCCAAGAGGCCTCCAAGACGGCCCAAGAGGCTTCCAAAAGGTCCTCCAGGAGGGCCCGAAGAGGCCAAAAGCATTGATTGTCCTTGGGTGTTTGAAGGATTTGGGCATTTGCTTATGTTCGGCCTTTCGACGGCCCCAAAGATCGTCCCCAGAATGCCCAAGAGTCCTCCAAGATGGCCCCAGGACGTCCCAAGAAGCCCCCAAGACGGCCCGGAGGGGGGCCAAAGAAAGTCCAAGAGTCGGGGATGGACAGAAACCCCTTAGTAAAACGTGGTTTAGTGAAAAGGACCTGAGGCCCAAACCTGGCGGGCGCAAGCCTGGAAAATAACGGCCGCGGCGCCCTCTCGAGAACCGAAAACGGACAATTCACTAATCGACGTGTCACTGTTGGGGGTTCTGTCCACCCCCGAAAGAGGCCTCCATGTCGGCCGAGATGCCCTCCAAGGCGGCCCTGAAACACCCCAAGACAGCTTCAGACGGCCCAGGAGCGCCCTAAGACAGCCGAAGAGGCCCCGGACAAGCCCCCCCAAAGGCCCCGAAGAGACCGAAGGAGGCCCCCCAAAGGCGCCCAGGAAGCTCCCAGGAGACCCCAAAAGTGCCCAAGAGTCTCCCAAAGGTCTTCGAATCCTGTTCCTCCTCCTCCTCCTCCTCCTCCTCCTCCTCCTCCTCTTCCTCCGCCTCCTCCTCCTCTTCCTCCGATGTCCTTCTTCTCCTCATTCTCCTCTTTCTTCTTTCTTACGTGTTTCCCGAATGATTTCAACGACGGCTGGGGGAACACATGGTCCGATAGTTTGGCCAGGCTCTATCTAGCCCAACTTTCGGCCACATAGGCGCTTTCAAAAAAGCAGGGGGCGGCGGTGATTCGCCGTAGGCTTCTTCGATAAGCATGCGTTCGAGTACGGCGGAAATAGACGAAGAATTGGGACACTTGCAGCACTAGTCCGGGGAAGAGGAGAGCAGTACTCATATTGAGTAGGTGGTGGGTAGCTGCAGGAGGGGCACGAGGGCGACGAGGGGCACGGGGCACGGGAGGGGAGGAGAGGGGAGAGGCGACATGGAAGGGGACGAGGACGAGGGCGGAGGGGCGAGGACGAGGGCGGAGGCGACGCAGAGGGCGACGAGCGAGGGACAGGGGAGGGAGGGAGGGAGTGGGAGGGAGGGAGCGGGATGGAGCGGCAGGGAGCGGCTCGGCGCAGAAGGTCCTGAACACCACCCCTGCCTTGACCACGGCCTCTGGCTCGTCGTCCTCGCCGGGCTCCTGGCCCTTGCCTTTCTTCTTCTTGCCTCTCGTCTTCTTCCTCTTCGCCGCTGCAGCCCCCGACTCCTCCTCGAGGAGCTCCGCGGCAGCGGCCGCCGCCGCCCTCTCGGCCTCCGCGGCCGCCAGCCTCGCGGCCTCCCTCTCGGCCTCCGCCGCCCTCGCGGCCTCCCTCTCGGCCTCCGCCGCCCTCGCGGCCTCAGCCCTCGCGGCCTCGGCCCTCTCAGCCTCAGCCCTCTCGGCCTCGGCCCTCTCGGCCGCCCTCTCGACTTCTAGCCTCTCGAGCCTGTCGGCCTCGACAAGCTCGGCCTCGGTCGCCCTGTCGGCCTCAACGAGGTCAAAACTGTAGGTGTTCTGTATGTCCGCCAACACCTGACCCGGGACACTAACCCTCGTCGTCCTTGCACTTGGTTGAGCGTTAAAATGGGGACGGTAGCGAACTCCAACGAAACATGCGCAGATCCAAACTGCCTGGGCGTCGAACCCCTTCGAAACCCTTCCTGACATTATCCCGAAAGATTCTTCGAGCCACGCCCAGACATAGCGACACGAGCCAGCCCGAGGACAATATGCATGAGGCGCTGGCGGGGGGCAAGAGCAAGGGCTTTGACCCAGACTCGCCTCGTCGACGCTACAGGGGTCCACGGGGGCAGCGGGCACCACGGGGCGGGACGGCGCGGTATCGCCACCTGCCCACCCGGCCTCCCAGCGCGACGCACCTTGCACAGCAGCGGTCCAATCGTCGTCGCTCTCGTCGTCGTGCGCGGGCAGCTTGCGCCAAGCCTGGCCGTCGGCACCTGTCGGGTGGTCATCGGCCCCCGCCGACTCTGCAAGCGCCCGCGCATCCGGCGCTACCTCCTCCCGCGCCGACTCCGCCAGGAGCTCCGCTGGCTGCGCTGGCGGCTCTGCTTGCCGCATGCGCCGCCACCGCCCTGGCAGCGCGCCCGCCTCTGGCCGCGCGTCCGGCGCTGCGGCGGCCCCCCCCGCCGGCCAGTCGGCAGACCCTGTGACGAGGCGTTCCGCCTCTGGCGTGGCGGCGGGCGCCGCGGTTGGCGCAGTGGCGGCGGCCGCGGGGGCCACTTCGTCGGCGGCCGCCTCCCACGCCGCGCAGGGGCGCTGCGGCAGGTGCTGCAGAGCAGGCGCCGCCCACGCCTCTGCGGCCGGCCGCGGTCCGAGGCCCGGCGCCTCGCGGGCCGCGGCGGCCTCCAGCGCCTGGCGCGGCGGCAGCTGCGGGCGCCAGCCGGCAGTGTCGGCCGGGGGCGGGCGCCAGTGGTCGGGGAGCTCCCAGTCCTCGCCGCAGGAGTCTGCGGGCTCCAGGGGCGGGGGCCCGGGCCCAGTGGCCTGCCAGCTGGCGGGGAAAACCCTAGCGCGTCCCGCAGGCGTGCATGGGGCAGGCGGGCAAGGTCCCACCCCGTCGGAGCGGGGAATAACTCCTCACTCCAGCTCACCTTCCCTCCCCCCCGCCCCCCCGGAACTGAGACGACGAACGCCATCACTCCCACTCGTCCGTTTGCCCCCCCCCCCCGGAATCGGCCAGGCCTGATAGGGCTGTGGAGCCGGCGGCTGCAGCCCGCGTTCGGGCTCTTCGGCCCAGGCGGCCCCAGGCCACTGCTGGGGCCCCGCCACCGAGCCTGGCCGCTCTTCGGCGGGCTGCCCGGCGGGCGGCTGCCGCCAGTCCTCGTCCGCGAGGGGTTTCCCGTCGGGCCGCTCCGCCGCCGGCGGCTCCCGCCAGGCCACGTCCGCAGGGGCGCGCCCCGCGGGCCTCCTCGCCTCCGGCTTCTGCTTCGCGGCACCGCGCTGCGGGCGAGGAGCGGCGACGGGAGCGATCACCAGAGCGACCTCGGCGCCCACCCGTAACTGCGTCCAGAACGATCGCCCGATCTGCTGCAGAGCCCTGGCTGAAGTTAGGACGGCGGGACCACCCAGAGATTGGCAGTGGTGAGGCGCACCCGTGGGTAATCATGAGGTGGTCACGGGGTAGTTTTGAGGTGGCCACGGGTAGTTGTCAGGTAGCTCCGAGGTAACTGTGATGCAAACAGTCCCGATGCCACGAGTACATCGCCAGTCATAAAGCTATGTGCAAAAGAGTGCTGATAAGCGAATGCACGGATGACAAAATAACTCTGCAGCACCCACGGGCTAAGATGTAGCCACGAGGCGAGCTACGGGTTGGCCACTAAGTGGCCTTGAAAAAACACCAAAGCCACCATTTGTCGCCAACTTCAGCAGAACAGAGACCAGCATGAGAAACTATGCCCCAACCAATGCTTGCACTGCCGGAATCCTCGCAAAACAAACAAAGAGCCGCCGAATTTGGTGGGCGGAGGGGGTCTCGGGTTCCCTGCTCCGGCTGCTCAATATTGGATTGCTGAGTCACTGGCGGCTGCCAGCTTTCTGGGGCCTCGAGAGTAGAACACAGAGAGCAGAGGGCACAGACTGGTGAACACTGCGCAGAGCGCAGAGGGTTGTGGCAGAGAGCGAGGGCACAGATAGTATAGGGTAGAAAGTGGAGGGTGACGGGCAGAGACGTAGAGAGCAAACATACCAGGGTCTGACTGGGGTGTCTCCCTGGTGCAGCTCCCACGCAAGAGACCACGACACCGATGGTGGCGGCATCAAGCCTGACGGCCCCTTGACGGCGTGGAGGAGGCCTCCTAAGGTTGTGGATGCCACGACAATGGACACCCTAACAGTCCAATCGTCGATGTTTTGAATGTGTTTAAAATGTCAGAAACATGTTCTAAACATGGTTTAAACATGTTGTCTGCATGCTCAAAACATGTTTGCACATGTTTTAGACATGTGGAAATTATTTGGCAGCATGCTTCCTCTCCATTGATCGTCCTCCACAATTCGGGCATGGACAGACCTGCCTTTAGTGAAACGTGGTTCAGTGAAAACGACCTCGGGCCCAAACCTGGCGGGCGCAAGCCTGGAAAATAACGGCCACGGCGCCCTCTCGAGAACCGAAAACGGACAATTCACTGATCGGCGTGTCACTGTTGGGGGTTCTGTCCACCCCCGAACAGTCCTCAAGAAGGCAGGGGGGGGGGTTCTGGGGAGGTATCTTGGAGGGCTCATCGGAGGCTCCCGCGGAGGCAGCCTGGAAGGCAGGAGGGCTTCCCATGGGGCCCCCCTCTGGCCTCCTGACGGCTGCCCTCCTCGCCCTGCCCCCCTTCAGCGCGCTGCCAGCCCTCCTCCGCCCGCTGTCCCTCCTCCTCCTCCTCCTCCTCCCTCCTCCCTCCTCCTCCCTCCTCCTCCCTCCTCCTCCTCCTCCCTCCTCCTCCTCCCTCCTCCTCCTCCTCCTCCCTCCTCCTCCTCCTCCTCCCTCCTCCTCCTCCTCCTCCTCCTCCCTCCTCCACCTCCTCCTCCTCCTCCTCCTCCTCCTCCACCCCCGACGCGGGGACAACAACCGTTGGGGCGATGCCCAGCAGCAGCAGCGGCCGCCGGTCGGCGGGCACTGCTCGCCACGGGGCAGGCAGCGCTCGCAGCGAGACGGACAGCGGCTCCTGGGACAGGTATGTGCGGGGACTGCTGCTGGTCGTCGCCCCCGCTCGTTCTGCCCCCCCACGTCGGCTCTCCCGATGCTCTCCCGGGTCGGCAGAGGCCAGGCGCAGGCAGGGGTCGGCGGAGGCCAGGAGGAGGAGGAGGAGGAGGAGGAGGAGGAGGAGGAGGAGGAGGAGGCGGAGGAGGAGGAGGAGGAGAAAGGGTGGATCGCCCAGGGGCGGGCATGACGCGCTTTCGCAGGGAGCCTCGTCGAAGACCAAGGCGGAGGGAGCCCCTGGATGCATGCCGTGCTCCCCCCCCGGGGCGGTCCGCCCTTGTTGCAGCCGCCGAGTCGGGCGCTGCTTCTGCGGCAGTTCGCGCAGGCGTGAAGGAAGGCGCGGCCTTCGTGAGCTTCGGGGCCCCAGGGGGCCTCTCTGGGGCCCCCCCCTCCTGCCACCCTCGACCTCCCTGCCCCCGCCCCCCTCCCCCGTGACGAGACGCCCGAGAACATGGGAAGTGGGGCAGAGGCTGGCCCCACCCTGGCCGGCCTGCAGGTGGGCCAGCTCCGCGGGCACGCCGCCCCCGAGCTCCCCCGCCGCGCGGACGGCGAGGAGCTGAGCGGCGCTGTACTGCGGCGCGGCCTCGCAGAGGGCCGCCATCCGCGGAGGGGCAGGGGGGGGGACAGCGACGGTCACCGCCGAGGGCCTCGCTGGCGCAGCGCACGGGCGCCTGGCGAGCGGCCGCGGCGCTCCGAGATCGAGCCGAAGCGGCTGCGCGGGGGGGGGGGGAAGAAGAGGCAGGGGCCCGAGGGAAGGCAGGGGGGGCCAGGCAGGACGGGCCTGCCAGCTGGGAGGCAGGACGCAGGGTCGGACGGAGAGGCAGACGGCCGGCCAGACGAGCAGGCGGACGGAGGACGGCCGGAGCGCATTGGGTGGCAAGGCGGAGGTGGGGGAGAGGGGGGGGGAAGGAGGCGGAGAGGAATGCCAGGGAGGGGGGAGAGACCGCGGAAGGAGGAGGGAGGGAGGAAGGGGGGAACGAGTGAAAAGAGAGAGGAGAAAGCATGAGGGAGGGAGGGTTGGACTGAGAGAGGGAGGGAGGGAAAGCGGCGGGAAGGAATACGAAACGGAAGAAGGAGAAGGGGAGGGTGGTGGTGGCGGTGGCGTTGGGAAGCATCGGTCAGTGCTGCGGGTGCAGCCCCTTCAGCGGCACCTCCCGCTCACGGATGGCTGGGGGACAGCCAACCGCCTGTCGCGGGGGCCTAGTAGCGCAGCGTCACGGCGCAAACGGTCCGAGAGACTCCTGTGGCCGTCCTCCCCTGGGGCGCCCCCCACCCCACCTCGACCAGAAGAGAAGGGCCAGCAGTACCAGTCCCCTATACCCGAGAGCTGAAACCCAGAAAAATGAAGAGCTACAGCTGGGACCCCGCCTGGGGCGATGGGGGACAAGGAGACCCCCCCAATGGGGGGCCCGCAGCCCCCCGCGCCCTGAGGACAGCAGCAACGCGAAGGGGGCGATGGGCAGCGTGGGAACTCACCGCTCACCACAACTGGGCCTCCGCCCGCCCGCGCCAACCCTGGCGCCACCGCAGGGCGCAGCTGCGAGGCGTCCAGGGAAGGCAGGAGGGGGCCCTGCCCAGGGTGTGGCACCCCCGCCCCCACCCCCAGCTCGGCGGCGGGGCGCGGCGTGGCCTGCGGGGAGAGAAGGGCGGGGGGGCGGGGAAAGCCCAGCCGGCGCGCGCGGCAAGAGTCCCCAGAGCCCCCAGGCGGGAGCGAGTCCGCCCGCCCTCCCCCCCCCCTCCGGGTGCAAACTCACTCCCGCCCAGGGGTGCGGGCACTCCTCCGCGCGCGGCGGAGGCCGGACCGCAACCCACGGAATCCGCGGAGAGAGAGCGGGAGTGCAGCACCAACCCCAGCTCGCCCCGCCCAGCACGATCCCGCTCTCACAAGGACAGGAGCGACGGCGACGGCGGCTGCGAAGCAGGCGCTCGACCACGCCTGCCCAGGACCGCTGCTTCTGCCTGTCTACTCTCGCGGCGAATGACACGACCTGCGCACCCTGCTGCCCTGGCCTGGCTGCCAGCAGCGCCCGCGCGCAGGCCGCCTGGGAGACCCGATGCGGCTGTGCCTGCGCCGCCCAGGCAGCGGCACGGCCCTCCGCCGTCCCTTGACACACACTGCGCGCGTGGCAGGAGGCTGCGCTGCCGCGTGCCGCCAGAGCACGCACTGCTGCACGGCTACCCAGGACCTGCACCGACCCACGTGCCCCAAGGCAAAGAGGCAGGCCCGCCCGCCAGCGGCTGAGGGAACCGGCAGCAGGTAGGGGAGAGAGGGCAGAGGGAAGAGGAAGATTGGGGAGGGAGGCGACATGAGTGAGCAGGTCCGAGGCGAGGGCAATCAGGAAGGCAGGAAGGGGAACGGAGAACATCCGCCGACCACCGCTCACAGGGGGCGACAAGGCGTGTGAGACACTTGGCTGCCCCGCTCCCACTCTTCCCCGTCCCCTGGGGTCCCAAAAGCCCGTTCCAGGGGGCGGCGGGGGAGGAGGAGGAGGAGGAGGAGGAGGAGGAGGAGGAGGAGGAGGAGGAGGAGGAGGAGGAGGAGGAGGAGGAGGAGGGGGAAGAGGAGGGGGAGGAGGGGGGAGGAGGAGGGAGGAGGGAGGAGGAGGAGGAGGAGGAGGAGGAGGAGGAGGAGGAGGGGGAGGAGGAGGAGGAGGAGGAGGAGGAGGAGGAGGAGGAGGAGGCGGAGGAGGAGGAGGAGGAGGAGGAGGGGGACCAGCTCCCTGGCACACCTCTGGGGCCCTCGGAGCCTCCAGATCCGCCCGCCCGTGGCCGCCAAGAGATCCAAGATGCCTTCCGAGAGGGCTCCAGAAGGGCTCGAACACGCCGAAGAGGCCCGAAAAACACCCAGGACGGCTTCGAGGCGGGCCACGGCGTCTCCAAGACACCCCAAGAGGGCCCCGAGATGACCTCCAAGAGGGCCTCGGGAGGCAACGCTCATGGATGTGCCATCGGTTTTGAAGATGTGGCGGGTACTCGATGTCTCGCGGCCCGAGAGGGACACCGCAGACCGGCCCAAGCCGGCCCAAGAAACCGCCTGGAGCGCGCGGCGACGGCCCAAGCGGACCCAAAGACGGCCCAAACCCTCACGTCGGCCAGAAAGGCCCTCAAGAGGGTCCCAAGAGGAGCCCAGAGACCCAAGAGGGGAACCTCGCATGGATCCCAGAGGCCCTCCCCCACAAGATGGCCCCCAAGATCCCCGAGCATGCCCGGCAAGAGACCCCCGGCAGGCCCCGGGAGCGCCGAAAGGGCTTCGAGAGGCCACCCTTTGGGCCTCCAGGAATGCCCCGGCAAGCCCGCACAACAGACGCGCAGGGAGAGGAGGACGAATCGGCAACAACTGCACGCAGGCGGCACGACGAGGAGCGGCGGACAGCACGCGCGAGATCGGAAGCCGCACATCTCATCCTCGAGGGGTCGGCGGAACGGCGCGGGCCTCTTGCACAGGCTGTGAGGAGAAGCGAGGTGAGCCTTGGCTGATGGACCTGCCAATGAAAATGCAGACTCCCGGAAGCCAGTCATCTGGGCGCACTTCGTCTTCCTTCTTCCATTTCGAGGAGGGGGCTTCCTCTCCCCTGTGGACCGGAGGCGAAGGCCGTCATAGACCTAAGATGCCTCCAAGAGGTCTCGGATAGCCGAAGATGGCCTCCGACATGACTCAAGATAGCCATGGACGGCCACAAGCCCAACATCGGTTACAGAAATATCAAAGCCTGAAGAAATCAATGATGTATGCTATGCGTTCACTCCTTTTCGCTTCCCGAGGGGCATCCGCGGCCTCAGATGGCCTGTTGGCCCAAGACAGCCCCACCACGGGGGCCAGAAGAGGCCCACGACAGCTTCAAGAGCGTCCAAGATCACTCCCGAAGTGACCCACGAGGGCAGCAAGAGGCGACCTTGAGGGCTCCAGAGGGGCGCCGCTGAGGATGAAGGACCCTTCCTCGCTCAGATCTAAAGCCATTGACACACATATGGCGTTCCAAAGGCTTCTGGTGGCATCCTTTGGAGGCTCGCAAGCTGAGATGATCCCAAGATGGCTTCGGATAGCCCAGGATGGGCTCCGAGCTGCCACACGATTGCCCGAGGTGGCCTCGACTGGCACCGAGACGGCTCCCACCGGCAGTGGAGACTCCCACGGCCGTCCCCCCCCCCGAGAGACCAGAACCACACAACACGTGCGGAAACGAGTGATGGTCTGCTCCTCCTCCTCCTCCTCCTCCTCCTCCTCCTCCTCACCTTCGCTTCCAGTGAGCTCCCGATGCCGCAAGATGGCCCCGCGGACCAGAAGGGAGCCAAAACAGACCACAGGACACCGCGGAGCTCTCCAGTGTGGCCACGAGAGGTTTCCAGAGAGGCGACGTGTCGGGCCCTCGCGGGGAGGATGTGAGCTAAGCACGCCGACCCTCCCACCCGCCCACCCCGGTGTTCATCGATGCCCCATGCCCTCCAAGATGGCCCCGAGAGGGCCCCAAAGAGGGCCCGGAAAGTTCACACAAGATTGCACAAACAGGGCTCCAATGTGGCTCCATGGTGGCCCCAAACGACTTCCAATACGATTCGGAGAGGCGCTTAGAGCGAGATGCCCGCGAAGACCTTCAGGGTTGACTGCTGCCGCCATTGGTGTGGTTGCCCCCCCCTCCCCCATCCTTTTGTTATGCTCCTCCTCCTCCTCCTCATTCTGCTGTTCCCGCATCTGTTCTCCTCATAAGTAGCTCCCCCTGTCGTACCCCCAGGGCGGGCTGGGCGTTTCGCCTCAGACCTACTCACCATGTATGGTCATTGAACTTGAAAGTTACAAACATTTCGCTGTTGGAGGGAGGGCCCATTTCAAAATGTAGCTCTCGCCTCAGCGCCGCGCACATTGGCCTGAAAAGCTTGCAACACTTTCAATGATGGAGGGCGGGTCTTTTGAACATGTGGTTCTCGCTATAGCGCCGCGCGCACTCGTCGCCAAAGATCGCAAAAGCTTCAAGGATGGAAGGCGGGTCCTTTTGAACATGTGGCTCTCGCCTCAACGCCGCGCGCAGTCGTCGTGACAGTTAGCAAGGGCTTCAAAGATGGAGGGCGGCTCCTTTTCAAAATGTGGTTCTCGCCTTAGCACCGCGCACCTTCGTCTTAACATATAGAAGCAGTTTCGAGGATTGGTATAGCTAAAGTCCCAGGAGGTGTGTTCTGACACGGTTTCGGATTGCCAAAACGAAGCAATCACGTCGATTCGTGGTGTTGAAGTCCCAGGGGCGGGGTTCTGGCGAAGGACTGTCAAGACGCAACAATCACGCTGACCTGTGGCGTCGAAGTCCCAGGAATTGTGTGTTGGCACCATTGCGGATTCTCAGGCGGTCATCCTCTACGGGGCCACTTCCCGCAACGACATGAAGTAGGAACTCGGGGGGACGGTTAATGATGACATCGCTGACACATCTTGGGATTAAACTGGTCTTCCCCCTCCTCCCCCGACCTCCCTGTTCACCCACCTCCCTCCTCCTTCTCCACCTTCTCCTCCACATCAGCTGCTGTCGTCCACAACTCTGGACACTCTCACCATGACTACATCTGCAAATCTCCGTGAATGGGGATCCCCACGCCGCAGGCAGACAGTGGCTG